TTTTTTTTGATTCTCTGTAACTATTAAACATTACATCCGAATAAGAGAAAAACTTCCATAACTGATCATTCTGGTCATTTCTTCACATGGAAACTCGTATTTACAGCCAAGTGGCTCCTTCTTTTCTCATTAATCAGATCGTTAGTATCAGAATCCACATTTTAAATACTTGGCTTTTTTCTGTTTAAATGTACCCTTTTCCCCGCCCCCCGGGGGATATGGAGTTTTCATTATCCTATAACTTCTGACCCTAACTGTCCCTATTTTCTAATCCTATTTCTCTAAACACTTGTGCCTCTTTTGCACTTTAAAACGGTGTGCTTCTTTTGCACTCTAAACGGTGTGCCTCTTCTGCACTTATAAACTCTGTGGCTCTGATTCATCATCTATGTTCTGTTTTTTTAGGAGGGACCCATGCTTCCCCCAAGGCCAAAAACGTCTAAACCTGACTATTGTTCTATCGCGTCCGATAGAATCGCCCGTCACGGCGGTCTGGCCACGCTGCAGTCATCCTGGGCCGAGATCTCTCTGTCTTCTATTTAAAACAATGTGCAGATTTTAGAAATGGTATCTGCTTACCTGTGTTTTGCAGTAGAGAGCCCCAAGACCCAACAGACCCAGTCTATCTATCTGAGCTCATCTTGCGTCTTCTTTCTGTATCAAATCACGTCTCGGGTCACCAAATGAAGCCAATAATTCCCTTTGACTGACGTGTCCACAATTTGATACAGAAATCAGACAAAAAGATTCTCCAAGTTTAACATCTGCATTTAATTATCTTTACAATCAGATACAGAATATTCAACAAAAGAGAGCTCTTAAAAGCTAATCCATGTCCCTCTCTGGCCCTCGTCTGATCCTCCTGTGTCTCCCCAAGCCAGAGCATATATAAAGAACAGGAAGGAGGGGAGTGTCCTATCAGCCAGCTTCCGGTCTAGGGTCCAGCCTTTTCCTCCGTCTGCCAGACTCCTGATGGAGTGAGGTTGAAAAGTGCAGAAGTCAGCAGGCCAAGACTAGGGGGTTGAAATCCAAACAGGAGAATCCATCTGTTGTCCAGTTGCTGGCACAAGAAGACACCTAAAATAAAATAAGAAGGACTGGCCTCCCACTTAGAGGTTAGCTAGGTCATAAAACACATGGTTTTAGAATGTCACGTATTTATAAATACAACAATACACGCACACATACACACATACACACATACATACACACACACATACACACACACACATACACACACACACATACACACACACATATACATACACACATACACACACACACATACCGGTCTGTCGCGCTCCTCTGTGTCACGGAGCCCAAAGGATTCGCGCAAATACGCGGCTCCAGTCCAACCACATGGAACATGTTTGTGTTTATGGTCCTCGGGATCAGCTCCACACACATCACTTGTATTTAAACTTTTGTGAAGACCTGTGAGACGCGGCTCGTCACTCGCTTCTCTGACCATGTGAACGAGCCGTCGTTTGCTGCTAGAAAGTTTTGGTATTAACCCGCAGCACAGCAGAATGGGAAGATTAAAAAAGCAGTTCTCTGTGCGCAAAGGTGCCGGAGCTGTTGCGGGTTTGGTGCCGCTGTCTCAGCTCTGATCCAGTAGAACGCAGAGCTGCACTTATGAAAAGTACACGGCTCGAAATGGCTGTTATTTCAAAGAACGTGGACTATTTTAAACTACGCGGTTAACCGGTTTCAACCGGTTAATGAGGCTCGGTGGTCGGTCATGAAAATTCATAGTTTTTACATCCCTAGCTCTGATCCAATTGATTTTGTTTTAACTATTAGAAAAAATCCTTAACTGCTTCTCATTCAGTCTACAGCTGAGTTTAGTATAGAAGGCAACACACTATTGCAAATATAGTGTGTGATTACACAACAAATTCTGGGGGAGAAACTCTGGACCCCGTGTCAATGGGTGTAGACTCAGGTCGTAGTGAATGTCCCCACCAAGATTGGAACCAAACCTACACCATTGGATATAGGCATCTGGACATGACCATTCCTATTTGAAAACACTTGAAAACTTGACTTATTTTGGGGTTTAGGGACGTTTCCTCACAGCATTTTAAAGATTCCATCTTAAAAAATCATTGACTGAATCTTTCATGCATAAACTTTCAGTTAAGTTGATATTTTCTCACACTTGTATTGGCATGTGTCCATGTTCAAACTCGAGGCTCGAGGACACAAGCTCCCTGAAGCCAAAACAGGAGTCAGTAAATTTGGCCCTTGTTATTCTGGCTTTGGCTTCACTGTCTGGTTGGCAGACAGCTCTGATCTGACATTAGAGGTGAAATTTGTGGTCTCCGAGTAGTTTTTCTCTTTGATGAAGCTTTGAAAGCAATGAAGTCCATCATCATCAAGTATTTCACAGCTTTTTGGACTCAGGCTTTCATTTCAGTATAAGATGACAACAATTCTGTCTCATCCACACTGACCAATTGTATTCACAAAATTTCCCTCCAAACATTACAAAAAATACTGAAATAAGTTGCAAGCAGGCTTAGCTCAATAGAAGTGCATAGAAAGTGTATAATCCAAACTGCTTTTGTTATATATTATGCCATTATTCGCATTAATAAACCTTACAGCTGGGTGGCACAGTGGCTTACCAGAAAGAATGTTCTTCCTGTTTATAAGATTGAAATAAATAAATGAAATTAAATCAAATCATGCAGTTCTTGAGTGAGAGCAGTTGCCCCTCTGTGATGTGCGGTATATGTGATATGAATAATAATAATACAAACTACTTCTGAAGCCACTGTGAGTGACTGCATACAATTATCAAAAAGTATTACAAAAAACTAAAAAAGTCAAAAAACATTTAATACAGAAAATTATTATGTCTGCTGTCGTTGTATCCTTGGCAAGACACTTAACCTCTGGGAACACAGCAAATTGCTGTTGTGTGCTTAGGCAAGACACTTCACCCCCAGTCTGGTGTGTGTGTGAATGGTTGGTGGTGGTCGGAGGGGCCGATGGCACAAACTGGTTGCCTCGCTTCTGTCAGTGTGCCCCAGGGCAGCTGTGGCTACAGTACTTTATCACCATCGTGTATGGAGTGAAAGAATAATGACATGTGAAGCGTATTTGAGTGTCCAAAAAAGCGTTATATAAATGCATTACTATTATTATTATGCATACAATAGACAAAAATAGACAAAAAAACACAAAATAGAATATAGAAAAAGTACCATTACAAGATATAGAAAAAATAGAAATTGTAATCCCTCCAATAGCTTCTATAGGTTCTCTCACTCAGACAGTAGTAAGTGACAGGCGCTGAAAGCCCGTTGTGGCGATGTGCAAACTACTGTCCAGAGTAATCGTAGTATTTTACACACCTGAAGTACAAGCACAGAGTGCGTTGCCAAAGGGCAGCGGTCATTATTGGTTTGAGAAGTTCGTCATCAAGAAAATAATGATTGGTGGAACGTTTGGAAATTACATTCAAATCAATGGAGCGTTCTACTGCTGCTGTGAGGAGCTGTATAATAAATTATGATTAAATATTTGACTATTTAAATTAATAATCTATCCTCTGGCGCGTGCACGGAAAAGTAGGCGCAGCTCCAAGACCAATCAGAAAGGAAGGGGGAGGAAGCTTGGCTCGTTTTTTTTTTTTTTTTTTTTTTCGAACAATTTACCTCTCTCTTTTTTTCTGACAAACTCCAGACTATCACTTTAAAAGAGAAGAACTGGGGGAAAATAAAAAAACTTCACGTGTTTGTCTTGACATTATGTTGAAGCAGGCCCGTCCTAAGGGCTGTGCGACCTGTGCCGTCGCACAGGGCCTCGCACCACACAGGGGCCTCGCAATCTTCCTTCCTTTTATTTTATTTTATAAATACACTAGTTCAAGGGTCCCCAAAGGGCAGACTGCACTCCAAATTTGGAACCCTAAACCCCTTTCTCTGGACCTCTTTGATTTCGTTTGATCAAAAGAACATTTTTACAAGTAAAGTCAAATTTTCACCAAAAGCGATTTGTAAACAGGCAGGCGCGCGGGCAGCTATGTATGCAACGGGTCCTCCGAAAAAACTGTCAGATAACTTTAGCAGTGTCTGAGTGAGATACAAAGAAAGTAACGGGAATGATCGCAGTGTAGGAGAGATGGATACTCGCGGAGGAGGAGCAGTGAGACAGGTGTGAGCAGAGGAGCAGACCCCTTTGTGTGAGCAGAGGAGGAGGAGGAGGAGGAGGAGGAGGAGCAGTGATACAGGTGTGAGCAGAGGAGCAGACCCCTTTGTGTGAGCAGAGGAGGAGGAGGAGGAGCAGCGGTGTGACAGGTGTGTGAGCGCTGCTATTGCCAATGTTTAGTCCGAATATCCACATCAAAAACATATTTTTAAAAGCATTAGCAAACACACTGTATGTCTAGCTTTAGCTAGCTGGAGTGTTTTTGTTGTGGTCAGAGTGTGTGGAGGAGGAGGTGAAGAGTATTTTGTTGTTGTCAGTGTGGAGGAGGAGGAGTGTATGTTGTCAGAGTGTGTGGAGGCATGGCAAAAACGTTATTTGATGAGAAAATAATAATATTGACTCCGCCTCATAGCCATTTTGGCGCATTTTGCCCAAATCTAACTATTAGAAGAAAAAGACTCCTTTTGGTTCAATCTTTTGAGTTGCTCTACCATTTTGCCACAGGACGAAAGAGACATGTCAGCTAAAAAGACCGCGACCAATATTGCACGTAGAGTGTGTGTGCGTGTGTACGTGCGCGCGCCAAACGCTGCATAGGAGCGAAGACACTCGGTTACGCGCGTGCTGATCTCGTCAAGCACCGCGCGAGGTGGTGCTGAATTCATGTCAAAGATTATAACAGGAAAAACTTTCCTCAGATCTGGGAAAAAAGTGTCAGGGCAGGGCCTCGCGTTTCGAGTTCGCACAGGGCCTCGCACCCCCCTTGGGACGGGCCTGTGTTGAAGTGTTATATATATTTTTTTAAATCAAATACTGCATGTTTGTGAGTACAATAGACATACCCATGGGTAACACGAAGAAGAACGGCAGCCAACACATGATGAACATGCCCACGACAATAGCCAGTGTTTTGGCCGCTTTCTTCTCCCGGGAGAACTTCATCAGGCGCAACGACAGCGAGCCTCTGAATGGGTTGTTTGTGTGGCGCCTGGAACTACTCTCCTCCAACCCGCTGCGGCAGTGAATGCGCAGTACCACTTCCATAGTTTTGTTCCTCTCTCGCTTTATCCCCTCTTCCAGACTCCTGGTAGTTCTGCGGGCCACCACGTACACCCTGAAATACATGAAGAGGATAACGACCAGCGGCAGGTAGAAGGAGAAGAGCGAGGAGAAGAGCGCGTATCCAGGCTCCTCTGTGATTCTACACACGCCCTCGTCTATGGGCTGGGGCTCTTTCCATCCCAAAAGAGGACACACAGAGATGACACTAGACAAAACCCATACGAGCGCTAAAATAACAACCGCTTTCCTCTCCGTCATGATGCTGGGATACTTCAGACAGTGCTTGACTCCGATGTAACGGTCTATGGAGATGATGCAGAGGCTGAGGATGGATGCGGTGCAGCACAACACGTCCACGGCAGCCCAGATGTTACAGAACACGCGTCCGAACACCCAGCATCCCAGCACCTCCAGGGATGCGGACAACGGCAGCACCACGGTACTCAGCAACAGGTCCGCGATGGCCAAGTTCACGATGAAAAAGTTAGTGACAGTTTGCAAGTGTCTATTGCACAGCACGGACAGTATGACTAAAATGTTCCCCGCGATGGCAAACAAGATGAAGATGCTGAGGAATACCCCGACTCCGATCGCCCTAGACTCCAGGGTGAGGGGTGCGCATGTGAGGCGGGTGGCATTTGTCGTGTCCAGCTCGGATCTGTTATCAGCTTCTGCGCCTATCCCGTACAGGCTGTCGTTCCAAAAAGTGGCGTTTGGCATTTTGACGCGCCATAAGATAAACAATGCAAGAAAGACAGCAGAGTTTATGGGATTGGCATGCGAATTTTTTTGTTTTTTATGTTTTTGATCCTCAGAACTGAACCAAAAAGCGACAGCAGCATCTCTATGTCTTTCGGAGATTACCTCAAGTCGGGGTACTTCTTGGACCCCCGCCCCCTTTTCCCTTTACGCACATGGACGTCACCTAGTCTCGCCAATCACAACAAAATGCACGCACTTCTGTCAGTTCATTCGGACGATTGACTGAATGAGATGTGCAAACATAGCTTTTAGACATCATACATTATGCCAAGCCAAAAACAACTGGGAGGGGTATAGATCAGTCGTTGGAATATTTAGGAGATTTCTTAAATTATGCAGGAGTCAATTATTTCCGTCATTTGGCTAATCTCTGTAATTACACGTCTCATATCCAAAAATAGATATTATTTATAGACACGTATGCATAAAATACCAGGGTTGCCAGGGTTACAGCTAAGGATGTTCCTGAATATGGGAGACAGGCATCCACTCTGAAAAAAAAAAAGATGTTTATGTTATGTTTAGCTGTGAATATTATAACATTATTTTGCCTATAAAACAATAATTTGACAGTGATTTCATTATGTTATTTCTGTTATGTTGTACGTTTTCTTTTCCATTTGTCAAGCATTTCATTTTGCTTTTTTTCACACATTGTGCTTTACAAATAATTTACCTTTCCTATTTGAAGGGATAAAATATTATGACTTCACGGGTCAGTCTTTCATGTATGTTCTAAATTTTACAATTGTTAATGAATTATTCTGAGTGATATGTGAAAGACTCAAGAAGATGCTGTATCGCAGTGGCTGACACTTGTGCTTCCGGAAGGTCCCTGGTTTATTCCATCTCCAGACAGAACCTTATAATATGGAGTTTGCATGTTCTTCTTGAATAACCTTAGTTGAATTACAGCAATACATGAACTTTTAAGAGTATCATAATTTTCTGAGTTTGAACTGTAAAAATCACATTCTCTCTCTATTGTTTCAAATGTGCTCTTTTTGTGTGTGTGTGTGTGTGTGTGTGTGTGTGTGTGCTTTGTCGTGTTGGTGTCCCGGTGTCTCCTGTTTGTATTCCAATGTTTTTTTCTGCAAATGGCAATAAATTAATTCTGATTCTGATTCTTGCAGGTAAAAAACAGCGTCTTTAATTCAGTGCTGGCAAGTGATCTATGTATAATCATAACTATATATTCTCTGATTTATGGTGCTGATGTCACCTAGTTTGACAAGCGATGATCAGGTGGCATATGCAGCAAGTGGTGATCAAGTGATTTTCATGGAGTTTCATGCTTTCAAGTTTCTGTTGAGGAAGTCACAGCGGGATTCACGCACATTTGCCGAAGGGCCTGTCTGACGCTGGCATGCTGAATGTTGAAGAGGAGGCACAGGAGAACCCAGATTGATAACTTGGAGTTATATAAGCAAAGTGACCCAGATTTAGAGTGAGTCAATATAGGTTGCATGGTTCTGTGCGTGTAAGGTTAGAGGAAACGTATACATTAAAGGAGATGTATCTTGCAAAATCTACTTTCTTGTGTTTTAACATTTTAACCCTGTTACAATATTGTAACCCATCAAAAACATACGAGAAGTTGTTTCAAGATCCATCCATGTAAATTTCAGGAATCTCAAGGCACTGAACATGCAACCACGCCCCTTCTGTCCAAAAGCAAATTTTTCCGAGAACGCATGAACGAGGCCTTGAGGTTTCGAGATGTTCATACATGTCAAAAACTGAAATGGGATTGAACTCTGCTAACTTCTGAAACTCCAATCAAATTTTGACTGTGTTCATGGATGGTCCCCAAATTCCAGAGTTTGCATCACTGTGACATGTCTGAGATTGAAAGAAAGCAAATTGTTCTCATGAGTGAAATTGTTGCTGTTGCTGCTGCATATGTGGTTCACCAATGTCACCAGGTCCTCATGAACACTGGGAAGTTCAGTTATGTAGATTGATTGATTGATTGATTGTATTTTGTTTCAAGCTTATAAATAGGAATCAATTATAGATTTAACAGCAATTACATATAATGCATGATAGAAATGTACATACATACATACATACATACATACATTAATATATATATGCATTTTTATTTTTTATTTCTCTGAGTTTCCAAGATCACATGAAAGCAGCATCCCATCCCGTGATAGTATGATGTCATAGTGCTTCTTTGACGTCACACTCATAGTTTTCTGCTTAGTATGAAGGTAAACCATCTCAATCTACTTTTTATTGTCCAAAAATAATGCTTAATGTTTCTTCTTCAGAGTAAGAGAACCAAAAGTCATCAGTGTTTTTGTTTGTGCGAATCCTGGCATTATCATGGGATTAACCCAGAAAAGGCTTCGATAACAGTATGGATTTGTTACATTTAGACTCAACTTAACAGCACTGGCTTGGCGTTAATACAACTTTTTGAACAGTACTTTTTAAAGATTGTTTTTGTTATTCATTTATGTGTTTAAATGCAAGGTTGAATTGACTGCTTCTCATCAAGAGGTTTGCTTTCCCCTTCAGCTACCTTGTATATTCTCTCTAAAAGCCTCTGTCTGGCTTGCATTTCTCCCTTTTTGAAGGACTATTATGTTTGCCTTATAAAGTAGAAAAAAAACCTCTTCGTTTCTGTTGGAAGATTCAATCATAATCATTACACAGTCCCAGTCTCATTATAAGAAGCTCTATTATTGAAATGTGCTCTAAAAAACACCTCATGTGTTCATCTCTGCACATGGACCACCTGATTATTCAAAGTGCTGATTCAATATCGTAAAATGGACTTTGAAAATATCTTCCCTCTCCCTGAAGTCCATTCAATAACCGGAGCATTGCCAAACAGAATTTCAATGAATGGTGGTAGCTATTTTTAGTTCGAGTTGACTGATTCGAAGCACTAAATATCCATGTGGCAGGTGTGCACTAAATGTCAGGCTGTGCACTTATAGACTGGGCAGAATGGATTGTCAATTGCTATCCCTTCACATGAGAGATGTAGTGTCTGTCAAGCAAGCAGAGGAACATTCAGCAAAGACTTAAGCACACACACAATGGGCCGCATTTATGAAACTTGCTTACAGCCAAATCAGGGTGTAAATGAGGCGTACGCAAAAAATTTACAGTTTTTGGCATTTATCAATCTGGACATGGGAGTACAGTACGCACGAAATATACACCAAGTCAGTAGGTGGTGTAAATGTGTATGCTCATTGCTCATGAAATGTAAGATTTGGACAACAATAAACATATTCCCACTCTGGCAAAATATTAAGCATTCATTGAGCTTCACATTTAGAAATTTGAATTTGCACATCAGAAAAACTCTAACACTCTGGAAACACGCACATTTCGAATAAATCACAGATCATGGTGAGGACCCTCCTGTTTCTTCGTTTTTAAATCTGAGTTGTGTGTGTATTAGTTTCATCTGTGTGGTTAAAAAAAAAAGTGAAGTGCTTTGTGATCCTGGTCTGTGAAAGGCGCTATACAAATACACTTGACTTACTTCTTAATGTGTGACCCGCCCTGCACTGCGTAAAGACGCTATTTGTTTTGCCTCATTCAAAGCAATGCATTTTTCATTAGTTTTGTGCATAAAGCCCCATAAACGCACCTATGGTCTCACTCAAAACTGTCTCAGCCACTGCCCTGTCTGCATGTAGCAGAGAGAGGATGGCAATGCGCCTATCTGTGGGAACGGGCTCACGGGCAGTGGCTCTTTGGGCAGTGCGCAGCGGGTGCCACAGAGGTCCCACCGCATAACTCGCCAAATGCAGTGCGCGTCATTCAGACGTTTGGATCCAGAGTTTCTCTGTGAAATCACGGACACTTCCCAAAAGTGTACCCATACTTTCTCTCTCACAGAGATCGCTCCATTGCATTCACAAAAAGATTCCGCAGACGCTTCACCCGGTCAATGATGAGCCACCGCTGAGATATTAAGATTCCTCCATTCATTCAGTCATTGATTCATTTATTCATTCACTTCTAAAGTTCAAGAGAGAAGAGTGCTGCAGTGGGTCACTATAGGGAAAAACACGTATACATAAATTAGCGTATATTTCTTTTTAAACAAAATTATAAAATAACTCAATATATACTCAGTGCGTGTCACTAACAGGACTTGCAACTAGACTTGCTGACCTGTCGTAAAAACGGGTCGTGAAACAGGCGGTTTCTGAATATTTGTAGGCGTGTCTTTCATAAATACGCTAGTTATCACCGCAGCACTTATCAACACCCGCAGGTTCATAAATCCCGCGCTGGATTTTGCGTAATTGGAATCTGCACCAAAAATATACACCCTTTTCTGCGCAACTTTCATGAAAGAGGGCCAATATTAAGTCAAACTACTTCATATACTGGACTATAAATGTTGTATTGGTTGAAAAAGCCTACATGGAACACCTTGACAATGGCTGGCATAGTATAAGATAAGAGGTCCCTTTTTTAGTCCACGGTGGGGAAATTTCAATGTTGAAGCGGATAGGTATTATCTGCAAATGTCCATATCACACACATGGACACACACAAATCTTCACTGGCTTCAACCACTGGACGCACTTATTATTCAAATGTATTTATTTTAGATGTCGGCAGTATTTCAAACTGTTTTTTTGTCCTTGTCTCCACACTTTTTTCACTCCGAAGCTCTGATTGTCTCACCTTTTCTGTTCCAAGAGGTTTTAAAGAATTTGGACGCAGACAGTTTCAGTACAAGAATCCATCAGACTGGAAAAAACTCCCCACATCCATATGATCCATTATGACTTTTGGTTTATTGAAGTTTAAATTATTTAGGTTCCTTAAAACTCCTTGTTTATGTCACTAATGTTCTGTATTGTGTACCTGTCATTATTGTTAATAGTTTTACTTCTAAATGTTTAAGTTTAGCAGAGGGGAGGAGTGGGGTGCGAAGAAGCATTTGTTTTGTTTCATTTTTGTTTTTGTGT